TGTGCGGAGAATTTGTCGGCACTGTCCTGTTTCTATACTTTGCTCTGTCCGGTGCACAAGTCGCAAACAGTATACCGTCGTCGGGAGGCCAGACGGTAGCGGAGGCTGGCAGCAATCCCCAACAGCTGCAGTATATTGCGCTTTGCTTTGGCTTCTCGCTTGCTGTGAACGCCTGGGTCTTCTTCAGGATCAGTGGAGGCTTGTTCAATCCGGCCGTGAGTAACTCCTCTCTCTTGCACTCTTACTCAACCAGTTTGCTGACGAAAATGTAGGTCACATTCGGCATGTGCTTGATCGGTGCTCTCCCCTGGGTACGCGGTGCTCTATTGTTCGTCACTCAGCTCCTTGGAGGCATGGCCGCGGCCGGTTTGGTCCAGTGCATGTTCCCGGGTGACCTAAACGTTCGAACAAAACTCGGTGGAGGTACCTCTATTGCGCAGGGTCTTTTCATTGAGATGTTCCTTACTGCCCAGTTGGTCTTCACCATCTTCATGCTGGCAGCTGAGAAGCACAAGGGAACCTTCATCGCGCCCGTGGGTATGTAATGGATAGCCTTTGGTTGACTCCTGTAATGGATACTAACGTCTTGAACAGGTATCGGTCTTGCTTTGTTCGTCACAGAGCTGTCCGGAGTGTACTTCACGGGTGGTTCGCTAAACCCCGCACGTTCATTCGGCCCTGCCGTCGTCAACCTTGAGTTCACGCACTACCACTGGATTTATTGGCTAGGACCCATACTCGGATCTATTATCGCGGCCGGGTTCTACAAATTCATCAAGATCCTCGAATACGAGACTGCCAACCCAGGTCAGGATATGGACCACGCTGCCAAAATCGAGAAGAAGAAGAACTTGTTGCTTGCCGCCGGTATCAACGAGTACGACGCTCACCAGGTGGCTACAGAGCTTACAGAGAAGGCCGCTGTTGCCGATGCCGGTGGTCCGGATGGTGGAGTCGTTGCCAATGGCCAAGGTCAACGTGACCCACAGTACGTTCCTCATGTTGGCATGTACGGAACGCAATTCCGTTCGAACTCTGATATCAGCAACAAACGCGGATCTGGTAGCTCCGAATCAGGGGTTCTACCATCGCCGCAACGTCCGACTGCTGTGACTACAGGTAGTCAGGTGGGGAGGTTCAGCTACCTAGGTAGTCGCGGTGCCGTACCAGGCAACTCTGCCCAGATCAACGCTCTGAGAAGAGAGAGCAGACAGGATAGCCCTGCTATGACGACGAACGACGAGCTTTATGCTCCCCTGCAACACGGCGCCGACGTACCTCTTGGAGGTGCTGTCCTTGAGACTGAGCCTAGGCAACGAGTCAACAGGACGCCATCGAGCTTTGCATGATGATAAAATCATGGTGATGAGTAAAATTAAGAAGCATGACTGGATACCCTCAAAGTAACATAGCGCGTTTTGCTGCAGTGATTTTGTTTAGCGTTCCCGTACACAATGAATCGATTCGTGGTCATCTCGACGTCAAATGCTTCATGGTGATGTTTCTCTGACAAGGTGGCCGATACCTCGTAGCGCTCAAGACTGAATTACTTCCGATGTTACCGTTATGGATCACGGGTCTGGCAAAGCCATTCGTGCTCCATGGGTACGGACGCAAGAATTCGAAAACAAATTAATGTGATCAGGTCGAGGTTTGGGGCGCGCCTCGATGGAGCAGATGAGTGAGTTCGTGGGAGAGTGACCTTCAGCGTTGCTGAAGTCTGGCAAGCTGCACTGTAGAGATCGCGCTAGTACATAAGCGACTTAGCTCGGAATAAATCCCACCCCCACCCGTGACTTTCACATCCAGAGTCTGAGTCCCCAAGATTCGCCATCTGTAAACCGCAAACACCAAACAATAAAATCTGCCCACCATGGCGACTTTGACAGTGACAGAGACGCAGCATAAGAGGAGGCTGCCAAAGAATGTCAAATTGCCACCCGAGAATGAACGTTACATGCGTGCGTGCGCAGATATCGCCTCAGCGCTCATTCAGGACTATGAATCCCAGGCCGACGGTTCAAAACCTAAGAAGGATCTGAATCTGAACTCGCTACGAGGTCAGATCGCGAAGAAGCACTACCTCAAGAGCCAGCCTCCACTCACGGCGATTATCGCGGCTGTGCCTGAGCACTACAAGAAATATATCCTCCCGAAGCTCATCGCCAAGCCGATCCGTACGTTGCCCTCAATGATATTGCATAAGTATTGTGAGACTGATGTAATTTGTAGGCACTTCATCTGGTATTGCAGTAGTGGCGGTCATGTGCAAACCTCACCGGTGTCCACACATTGCCTACACTGGTAACATCTGTGTATACTGTCCAGGAGGTCCAGACTCCGACTTTGAGTACTCAACACAGTCCTACACAGGTTACGAGCCAACATCTATGCGCGCTATTCGAGCGCGATATGATCCTTACGAGCAGGCTCGTGGACGAGTCGACCAGATTAAGTCGCTCGGTCACAGTGTCGACAAAGTTGAGTACATCATTATGGGCGGTACATTCATGTCGCTACCAGAGTCATATCGGGACGAGTTCATCTCACAACTACACAACGCGCTTTCGGGATATCAAACCAAAGACGTTGACGAGGCTGTTGCCGCCGGGGAGATGAGTAACATAAAGTGCGTGGGTATCACCATCGAAACACGACCAGATTACTGTTTGGATCAACATCTGTCCTCCATGTTACGCTACGGATGTACGCGTCTCGAGATCGGTGTACAGTCCCTTTACGAAGATGTAGCGCGCGACACCAACCGAGGCCACACTGTCGCCGCCGTAGCGAAGACCTTCTGTCTCTCCAAAGACGCCGGATTCAAGGTGGTGTCGCACATGATGCCTGACCTGCCTAACGTTGGTATGGAGCGCGATCTCGATCAATTCGTAGAGTACTTCTCGAACCCAGACTTCCGCACCGATGGACTCAAGATCTATCCTACACTTGTCATCCGCGGCACAGGACTGTACGAACTCTGGCGGACAGGAAGATACAAGAACTACACCCCAAACGCTCTCATCGATATCGTTGCCCGCATCTTGGCCCTAGTACCGCCATGGACGCGAATCTACCGTGTGCAGCGCGATATCCCCATGCCGCTTGTCACATCCGGTGTTGAGAATGGTAACTTGCGAGAGTTGGCGCTGGCAAGGATGAAGGACTTTGGTACCTCATGTCGCGATGTGCGAACACGCGAGGTCGGCATCAACGAAGTGAAGCACAAGATCCGCCCCGATCAGGTCGAATTGGTACGTCGGGACTATACGGCTAACGGCGGTTGGGAAACATTCCTTGCGTACGAAGACCCAAAACAGGACATCTTGATCGCCCTGCTTCGTCTACGACAATGTTCGAAAGAACACACTTTCCGGCCAGAGTTGACTGGCCAGCCCTCTTCGCTGGTACGCGAACTGCACGTCTACGGGTCTGCTGTCCCTATACATGCAAGAGACCCGAAGAGGTTCCAGCATCAAGGTTATGGTACGCTTTTGATGGAGGAGGCAGAGCGGATAGCCAGGGAAGAGCATGGAAGCAGTAAGATCAGTGTTATCTCGGGTGTTGGTGTGCGGAGTTACTACGGCAAACTGGGTTACTGGCTTGACGGCCCGTACATGAGCAAGACGCTCGAGCCGCTGTGGGAGAGGGACTGGTAGATGGGAACGTCGTGGCGGGCGCGTTTTGGCGTTGGTGCATGTATCGGTCCTGGTGCTTCGATTGACATATGCAGGGCTCATGCACACATACAGATAGCACATGTTAGGCTAATCCAATGTCTTGCTACGGAAATGTATGAACCCGCCTGTGCCCGCTGAACGCCGTGTGCCATATTACAATGTACAAGTGCCCCTGCCTTTCCTCCACAGGCGCAATGACGCATGCCTGTCCCGATGCCATCGTCGCATCCAAAGATTCTCTAGATGATTTCTCGTCTTATCTTGCCGCTCAATCGTGTTTCGCATCCTGTTCAAGATTATGACAGGCTTATCGCGCCGCGACGGCTTTCGCGCATGTGGAGGAAGGCCTGCAGGCCGCAGAAAACAAAGAAGCCCTGGAAAGAAGTTAGCTAAGTGCGATACTCTCTTTTCATTCCAACGTACAATGTATATGAAGACGGCACCGAATACCGCGCCGGCAACTGCGCCACCATCCTCGGGGTCTTCATGTCCTCCCATTACGGTACCGCTGTGTCCCTGCGAGTTGCGCATTAGCATCAGTTCTGCTTTACATTCCTCATAACCAGTCGCGACTGTGGATTCGAAGGTGTTCGTCCTTGTCGGGACCATGGGCACGAGGCAGACGTACTTTGAACAGAGCTCCGATCGTGGAGAGAATGACGATGGCAAAGAGCGACACGACGATGCTAGCACTCCGTTAGCTTCCTTGCTGTTCCTTCTTCCCTAGGTTGTTTCGCGCATACCACGTCCATGCATTCATCGCGGAAACAACGGGCTTCACCATGATGGGCGACTTGGAGCTTCGGTATCGCGCGGCGGCGGGTAGCTTATCGGTGGCGTTGACGGCGCTTCGATCGTGGTAGCGTTAGATAGTTCGCTATCTGTACCGGTGATGTAACGGATGTCGTAGGAGGAGATGGGGTTGGGAGGTGGTCGACGTCGATGGTTGTGGTTGGATGAGGTGCCTGAGCCTGGAATCGTCATGTCTTGCGACGCCTGCCGATGCGCGTTGGTCCGTGCACCGCATCTGATGCAGGTGAACCGGGAACTTCCTGAACATCGACATTCATTCAATTCCCCATCCACGCCGCAAAACCCTCATAGAACGGCTCGCCATCACAATTCGCGCTACCTTCGAAGCTGAATACAGATATCATGTCCCACTAGGCTGGACAACATACTTTATTGTACCATCATCACAATAACGGAAGACGGCAATGGACTAGAAACCTGGCCTCACCACATTAAACGACTCCCACCAGCTCTTGAACCCCATCCTCGCCGGCATACATAATTCATCTATTGTCTTGAGAGCCCAAGATGGACAGTATCGTTGATACCTTCCGCTTCCTCGATCTTCCCAAAGACATCCGGTTATTAGTATACGATTACTTGCAGCCCGAGAGTCACTTGGTATCGATCTTTGGAAACCATCGTTGCCTCTGGTATACCAAATTAAGGCCTTCCACAGCACTACTGTTAGTCAACCGCCTTCTATGCGACGAGATCAGAGCCTACTTCGGCAAAGGCTACCCTGGGCAACCTATCACACTCGTTGCCCCGGAAGGTAATTGCACGTTTGCACTGCACTTTCTAGCCGCTCTCTCTTGGGGCCATCGCTTGGGTATGATGTCCAAACAGAAACATGGCGACGCCGGCATGCCTATCGAACTCTCCAAGTTTACGCAGATGGTACCGACCCGTCAACTGAAGATGAAGATCCAGCATATCGATCAAATGCGTAGCGGAAGTTCGACGTCCCCACTTACTGAATTCGACGACACAACGCTCCAGGAGGTCTATCGTCTCTGTGTGCTCAGGATGCGCAAAGAGACATACTTCCAGTTAAGAGTTTTGTTCCGAAACGAGGAAGTAGAAGGCGACAGGGATTTGCGCTATATACTTTTGCATAGAGACAATGTTCGCTCAGAAGGCATTGGTCCGTGTGATCTCATTGTGTTCTTTACGACTACACCGCCACCCGATGCTATTCCGTCACCGGCTCAGATAGGGAAAGGTTATCAAGAGACTGCTATTGATGCGGAGGATATGAAGTTGCAATGGGAGGCCATGACAGAGCAGGAACTCAACGTTTGGCGAACCGGTCGTTTCTACAACTATGATGAGTACCACGACAACCACGTCTGCCACGACGACTGCCACAACCGCCACAACTACTACGACTACCACAATTACTACTGAGAGCTTTGGACATAGTCTTCGTGATGATATGGGTTATCTTGTCCCGTTTTGACCACGGCTGGACCTTGGCTTTATGGCTTGGTGCAAGTCTGAGTAAGTGGAGGTATAGATGCATTCGCACGCGCTAGGTCTCCAGTCTGAAAGCTGTGGAACCTGGGTACTTTGAATGCCTTTGTGGCGATCGCATAGAATGCTGAGTTGTGGATTTGTACTGTTAACCAATCTTTTGATACTGGTCACATCCAATGCTGGACCTATGAACAACTCTTCTCCGTTTCCACTATCTGAATATCCCATAATTACTGCGAACGGTCTCTGCGTGCAGTCATGAGAGCGGCTCCTATTCTTCATCGCCCATTTTACTTGCCATCCTAGTGATCAGATCCGAGCAACTTTATCAAGTTTCCGCTATGCGTCCAGATCCTGCTCTGTTGCCACATGCCAATTCGCAAGGCGGATCTGGGATTCGGTTCATTGGGCCTGCAACTGGGAAGTCGAGTATCTTCCTTGAACCATTATCGCAGCCCTGATTGTGTTGGTCGTGCTCGAATGCAGCTGTATTAATGCGCTCTTGTAGTATATGTTGTTGATCAGAGTCGTAAGCCATGGATAGCGTGCGAGAAATATCTCGCACATGCTCGGATGATTTGACAATGTAGATTACAAGCGGTCCACCAAGACGCTGTTGGCGCGTCGCCGCTCGTGCTTCGGTCCTGAGCTGGCGTGACGCTTGAGCGACTGCCGGATCTATTGTGGCCACCTCATAGGCAATCCCCATTTCCGGGAAAGATAAAGGCTTGATGCACCGATTGAGTAGGTGTTCATAGATCAGGAATCGGATGTCTTTGGGAAGATCCATGAAGTGAAGGAACGTTGCGAGAGGTGTAGCGTCGGGGTCATGTTCTTTGGCGACACCAGATGGCTCGCGCGCGATCCGGGCATGCGTGGAGAGATCTTCTGAAGTGAACATGGCGTTATTGATTAGTCGAAAACCTCTGTTGAAGGTATAGCAGATCTTCTTGCTTTACGCGTCTTCGGACTTGCAGCGGGACATTCAGCGCTAGTCCGTAAACGGATGAGATGGCAGCCTGAAATTGATCACGTGCTACCGTCTTCAGCACGCGACGCGTCTTCCCCACCCACATCGCACCTGCATGACAAGCTTGCAGTGATTGTTGTACATTTCCGAGACAGCGTTGTACAGCAGACGCCGTTTGCGCACTTTTCTCTACGAAGCCCTGCAACCCTTGCTTTTCTGCGACCTTGTCCCCGAATTTGCCACCTGAGGCGTGAACGCGCGACGGGCTATCGGCGCAAAAGGGCCAGGGGTATCTACCCTTCGACAATTAGTGCTTCTTGTCATCTCACCCCTCCGTCGAAGTTACAGTCTCTCGTTCAATCCGTTCATCAGTGTTCGCTGCGCGTTCCTCGATCTCTGTCGCATTTTCACTTGCTTTTCCTTCCACCAATTCATCATAATGGCGCCCCGGCGATCAACCCGCAAGTCGACTGGTGTCGCGAATGACGTCGCCACCGCACCTTCCCCAGCGCCGACAACTGGTATGTACAGGCTGACTTTGGCCTTCACTTTGGCTTAACAAGTGAATGCTGTGCATCATTCTTGCGCTAATGCGATTACAGCCCTGGTAGACTCCTCCTTGGCTGATAGTCGCCACAAACAGACGTGCCTTCGTACCTCTCGATCTTTCATCCCCGACTCTTCCGACCACGAGAGCGAAACCATCGAGCCCGAGGTGCCTCAATCATCCGCCAGCGCCCGCCGCGTGTTGAAAGAAGTTAGAGTCCCCGCCATGAAGTCCAAGAAGGCGCCCGCCACTCGTGGACGACTAGCAGGGCTCAACGCGCAACAAGCAGGACAAGAGAGTTCAACCGCCTCACCTTCCCTGGAGAACTCAGACTACGAAACACAAGGAACCAGCATCTCGACTACGCCAGCTGCGTCAGTCAGTCGTGGCAAGAAGCCTGCCCGTAGTCGGCTGAACAATGCTACGACGCCTTCGCAGAGCACCTCATCCAAACGATCTCGCACCGCCGTATCAGACTCTGGCTCTGAATCCGATAACTGGACGCTCGACATGGACGCTGAGATCGCTTTACAAATGCAGTTGGAGGACGAAATGGATGCGCCACACAGCAAGCGCCAGAAGATCAAGGACGAGGAGGACGAGGAGGATGAGGACATGCTATCCGAGGATGAGCCTATCGCGCCTTCGCGTCGCAAGAAGGCGCCCTCATACATTGGCAAGGGCAAGGGCAAAGCCAAGGTCGAGGAGGTCTTCAGCGATGACGACGCAGATTCAATGACAGCTGTTCTGTCGTCAGCACCATCTTACAAAGGCAAGGGCAAAGGCAAGGCCAAGGCTCAGTCTTCAGCAAAGCGTGGTCGTCCTGCACGCTCTAGTGCGAAGAAGGCAACGTTCAAGGAAGAGGACTTTCTCGATGACGAGGAGTCTGACGGCGGCGAGTTTCGTCCTGATGATGTGGATGACGCCGAGTCTTTGCTTAACGATGTCGAGACACCAATGGCTAGCGACAGCGATGAAGAGCCTTTGATGACGACAAGTGACCGTCTGAAGAAGATTGCTGCGGCGCGCCAACCGAAAGCATCTGGAGGCCGGAAGAAGAAGCTCACCCGCGGCGACAAAGACGAAGCGACTGATCGTCGGGCGAGGTATGCGCACATCGCGGACAAGTGGGAGCGGAAGCGGGCCATGAACCGTGAACGAGCAGAACAACAGCATCCAAAGCTGAAGACTATGTGGAAGACTCTGGAAGACATCCCCGTCCTGGAGGTTCAGCAGGCAGAGCAACCAGAGTCTATTACCCGACGATTGAAGCCATTTCAACTTGAGGGTCTTAGCTGGATGATTCGGCAGGAGAAGACTCACTACAAGGGTGGGCTGCTCGGAGATGAGATGGGTATGGGCAAGACTATCCAGGCTGTCTCCCTGATCATGTCCGATTACCCTGCAAAGCAGCCAACGCTCGTATGTGTCCCGCCAGTTGCTCTGATGCAATGGTCCAACGAGATCCGCGAGTACACAAACAACAAGCTCAAGGTTCTGGTATACCACGGCACGAACGCCAAGTGCAAGAAGATGTCGATCAAGGAGCTCAAGTTCTACGACGTAATCATGGTTTCGTACAATTCTCTGGAATCGCTGCATCGCAAGGAAACCAAAGGATGGTCCCGCGGTGAGGATATCGTCAAGGAGGCATCACCACTCCACGCCATCCACTACCACCGCCTTATCCTGGACGAAGCGCATAGTATCAAGTCTCGGAACACTGGTGTAGCTAAGGCTTGCTTTGCGCTGACTGGTGACTACAAGTGGTGCTTGTCTGGCACGCCAGTCCAGAATCGCATCGGAGAGTTCTTCTCACTTCTTCGCTTCCTGGAAGTTCGTCCATTTGCGGACTACTTCTGCCGTTCATGCAAGTGCGAGAAGCTGCATTGGGCCACCGACGATGACCACATGTGTGTTGCCTGCAACCACGGTGCTTCTGAGCACATTTCAGTGTTCAACCAGGAGCTGCTCAACCCAATCACTGGCGATGACCATAAGCTCCGAGAGGAGGCCCTGACAAAGCTTCACTTGATCACTGCTCGCATCATGTTACGACGTATGAAGCGCGATCATACCAACTCCATGGAGTTGCCGATGAAGGACATCATCATCCACCAAGAGTTCTTCAGTGAGGTGGAGCGCGACTTCTCAACCTCGATCATGTCGAACTCCGCCCGCAAGTTCGATACTTACGTTGCGCAGGGTGTCATGCTCAACAACTACGCCAACATCTTCGGTCTTATCATGCAGATGCGACAGGTCGCCAACCATCCCGATCTTTTGCTAAAGAAGAATGCGGCGGAAGGTGCTGGTAATGTCTACGTGTGCAATATCTGCGATGAGCCCGCCGAGGACGCAGTACGTTCTCACTGCCGTCACGAGTTCTGTCGCGCTTGCATCAAGGACTTCATGGAGACCTGCGAAGCCTCTGGCACGGACGCAGACTGTCCTCGCTGCCACATCGCCCTGTCTATCGACTTTGAACAGCCAGAGCTTGAGCAAGACGAGGACTCCGTCAAGAAGACGTCGATCATCAACCGCATCAAGATGGAGAACTGGACTTCTTCCACCAAGATTGAGATGTTGGTATACGACCTCTACAAGCTTCGGAGCAAGAAGCAGACACTCAAGTCCATCGTCTTCAGTCAGTTCACGTCGATGTTGCAGCTCATTGAGTGGCGTCTGCGTCGTGCCGGTTTCAATACCGTCATGTTAGATGGCAGCATGACTCCTGCACAGCGCCAGAAGAGCATCGATCACTTCATGACCAACCCGGATGTTGAGGTCTTCCTCGTCTCCCTCAAGGCTGGTGGCGTCGCTCTCAACCTTACTGAAGCATCCAGGGTATTCATCGTTGACCCGTAAGTATTAGTCTCCGCCATATCTTTCCACAGAACGCTAATGAAACGCAGGTGGTGGAACCCAGCAGCTGAGTGGCAGTCCGCCGACCGATGCCATCGTATCGGTCAACGTCGTCCTTGTGTGATCACTCGCCTTTGTATCGAGGACAGTGTAGAGTCGCGTATGGTCGCGTTGCAAGAAAAGAAGGCCGCTATGATTGCTGGTACCGTGAACAACGACAAGGTCGCCATGGACCGCCTCAGCCCTGAGGATTTGCAGTTCCTTTTCCGTGGTACCTAGTCGCAGAAGCAGTTTTACGTCTTCACAGGAGTATAGATGGCAGGGGTTTCGGGTTATCGCATTATTCATGAGGCGTTTGTCGGTCAGCGACGCATGGGATCGATCGATCTACGGTAAACACTTTTTTGTTTTACCACAGGCGTTACAAACATGGAGCGCAGTTCAACGATCGGAACGATGCATAGCGCCTCGGAACCTTTCGATACCTTTCCAAAGAGTGTTATACCCGTTTAGATCACAGTATAGTACGCTGTCTAATGAATGCATTTTCCTACTTGTGAATTCCACACCTTCTGATTAACAGCCTTCTCCTAGTCGTGTGTGCTGTCCTTACACTCAGGTGAGATCCATGTAAGCTGCCGTCTAGCGTAGTAATGGCAGGGATGCCACAGCTCGTCCAACTGCCACGGGGGCTTGCAGGTACGGTAAGGAGTACAATCTCATACACCGCGATAGCTTGCGCAGCTCGATGGATACGGCAGGTGTGTAAAGTATTGCAACCCATTACCTTTTATTGTCAATGTTGGGTAGAAGGCTGCGGGTAAGGTTTACCCTTTGACTGTGATCCCATCGCTCCAGCGATCATTTAGCTACCTAGAATAAACTTCCTTCACTCCAAAAAACATCTCAGTACCCTATTTCCAATACACAGAATCGCATCCGCGGAACCGAGGAGATGTTCACAAAGCCATGTTGTAGCGGTATTTGTGGTACGTAATTTTACGTAAAGCCCAACTTGCTGCGCATGGACCTTTACTTCAGATCGTCGCGCATGTGCAAGGTCAACGTCAGAGTAAATGGGCATATTTGCGCATTCGAATGGTGCAGGAGCGGACAAAGTACCGTTGTTTGACAGCTGGATCCGGGAATAAATTGCGCGATGAGGGACTTTGGTTGCACGTTCGTGCTTTTGACGGTCCGCTCCCGGGGCCATTGAACTTTAATCTCTTTGAGCTGTTGATCTGCTTTCTGTTTTACTTATCCATTCGCATGGAAAGATTTTGTTTGTTTGGTGTTTACGTTGGTCAGTATGAGTGTGTTCTCTGCAGCCAGGGAATGGGACCTTGATATCGATCGCTACCTCAATCGCATCATTCCTCCTTCACCGCTGCACAAGCTTCCGACGCCGGTGTCGAGGTTCCTTGGGTATAGAAGGGAGACGCGTCAAGATGTTGGGAACATACTTGGAGCGTTCTGGTCGCTGTTGGGCGCGTTCTGCGGTCTGGCGGTCGTAGCGGCAGTCTTCAATAATACGGACAGCATACAATGGCATCAGCCGCCAGCGTTGATCGCCTCATTCGTATGTTACTTGTTGCTGTTACGAGCGTGATCTGTTGTGCTGACTGGTGATACAGGGTGCCTCTGCGATTCTTGAGTACAACTCTATACGCTCGCCACTCGGTCAACCGCGCAATGCCCTCCTCGGCCATGGAATCTCTGCACTCATCGGCGTCGGCATATCGAAACTGTTCCAATATCACTCGGAATTCGATTCGATACGATGGATTGCAGGCGCTATAGCATGCGGTTGCGCGTCTGCCGTCATGCTCTTGACCAACACTGTGCATCCACCGGGCGGCGCATCCGCGGTGCTTGCAGCCACAGACCCTGTCATCACAGCCATGGGCTGGTACTTCGTCGGCCTTGTTCTGTGGGGTACTACTCTTATGATTGCAGTTGGGCTGGTCATCAATAACATCCAGAGGCAGTTCCCGATATACTGGTGGACCCCTTTGGATCTGCAGAAAGTGAAGATTGGGGATGAAGAGGTGGTGCCAGATGCGACGGGCGGTTTAGAACGAAAGAAGAGTGCAGATGAGCAACACTATGACTGCGAAAGGCACAGGATTGAGATCAACGGCGCCCGGATTACGTTGCCAGACGATTTGAACTTGAATGCGGAAGAGACGAGAGTACTGGAAAAGTTACAAGGAAAATTACGAGAGAGGGTCGACGAGGAGACAAAGCCTGTAGATTCAGAAAAGGAAGAAGCGGATAGCGAAAGGAGCAGTGCTGAGTTCACTATGGTGCCGAGCAACAGCGGGAGCAGTCACGGTATATAGACGGCGCTTATCGCTGTTGAGGCTGGTGAAGATAAGAACTATGACGATCATCGCTCTCTCGTGGGGTATCCACAATGCTCAACAACCACACAGGTGATGCCTAATACTAACGATACTCTTCATCGTTTCGTAACTTTGAACGAAAATGGGATCTGAGCAGCACATGTTCATCGCATACCTAAATATACATAGGAAGATGCGCATGGCGTACTTTTGCGTTGAGGGGCACATGGCGGGACTTCTGGAGACATAGAAAACATATTCGTACAGAATACATACGAAGACACTGTTTGCTTCGCCCGGATCTGGACCTAGCTACCTGTCTGGTGACTTACTATCCTAACGAAAGATGCGTGTAGCGGTGTCAGCCTCGAGCGTTGAGCGCCTTACTTGCCCTATGATGATGGTGGGGGAGCGCTCATTGGCCGTGCGCAGCCTTCGCCACAAGTAAGAAAATTGATTCACAGGGTCGCATTGTTTGACCAGCCCTGGCCGTTTCTTACTCTCAAATCCTCTCTTGCTACACTACTTCCAGCGCTTCATCACTCCACTCGTTTTCACATCCGAGTGTCGCGCTTTGAACAGGACGCGAAACTGAAACCTTTGGGTATCGACACCTATCGATAAGAGACTTAGCGGGGCACAGATTGACGTTGATCCCAACCCTACGAAATTTCCTCCTCCCTCCACCACCCCAGAGTCTTCACCCATAAACCACTAAGACACCATGGTCTCCGCCTCAAAAGCTGCCCGCCAGGCGAAGCGCGCCGCCGACGGCGATGCGAAGCCCAAGAAGACGGCCACGTCCAAGTTGTCCTCCAAGGCCAACTCCAAGAATGCCTCCAAGGCCAACTCTGAGAACGGCGACGAGGCCGAGGACCTCGAGCTGAACGAGGAGGTCAAGAAGCTGACCATGCAGGAGGACAAGCACGGTCTGTCCGACCGCGTCACCACCGGTGTGCTTGCCTCGCTCGAGCAGTCGCGCGATGTCAAGATCATCTCTGCATCGCTCGTGTTCCACGGAAAGGTCCTCTTCAACGACTCCACCCTCGAGATCAACTACGGCCGCCGATACGGTCTGTTGGGTGAGAACGGTTGCGGAAAGACGACCCTGCTCAAGGCCATCGACAAGCGCGAGTTCCCCTTCCCAGAGCACATCGACATCTACCTGCTGAACATGGGTGCCCCCAAGACTGAGCTGGGTGCCCTGGAGTGGGTTGTGCGCGAGGCTGAGAACGAGCTGGCCCGTCTCGAGAAGCTGGCTGAGGATATCCTTGAGAAAGACGGCCCCGAGAGCCCCCTCCTTGACGACATCTACGAGGTATGTACACGCCACATCAAAGTGCGGCACGCCACTAACACTATACCAGCGTCAAGAAGACATGGACCCGTCCACCTTCCACACCCGCGCATCCCTCATTCTTACCGGTCTCGGTTTCAACAAGGTTACCATCAACAAGAAGACAAAGGACATGTCCGGTGGATGGCGTATGCGTGTTGCGCTCGCCAAGGCGCTGTTCGTCAAGCCCGCCCTGCTGCTGCTCGACGACCCCACTGCCCATTTGGACTTGGAGGCCTGTGTGTGGCTCGAGGAGTACATGAAGAAGTGGGAGCGCACCCTGGTTCTCGTGTCCCACTCTATGGACTTCTTGAACGGTGTCTGCACAAACATGATCGACATGCGTCAGAAGAAGCTCCTCTACTACGGAGGTAACTACGACACATACCACAAGACCCGTACCGAGCAGGAGGTCAACCAGACCAAGGCCTACGAGAAGCAGCAAGACGAGATCAAGCACATCAAAAAGTTCATTGCTTCCGCTGGTACTTACGCCAACTTGGTCAGACAAGCCAAGTCTCGCCAGAAGATTTTGGACAAGATGGAGGCCGATGGTCTGATCGAGCCCGTTGCCGTTGACCGTGTCTTCACTTTCCGCTTTGCCGACGTCGAGAAGCTGCCCCCACCTGTCTTGTCGCTTGACGACGTTACCTTCTCTTACTCTGGAGATGCAAAGGACAACCTGTACGAGAACCTGGACTTCGGTGTCGACATGGACTCTCGAACAGCTCTTGTTGGACCCAACGGTGTTGGAAAGTCCACCCTTCTCAACATCTTCACCGGAAAGCTCAGCCCCACATCCGGTGTTGTGTCGCGCCACACTCACTTGAAGCTCGGTGTGTACAGCCAGCACTCTGCTGAACAGCTTGACCTCACCAAGTCTGCCCTTGACTTCGTCCGTGATAAGTTCCACCACATCAGCCAGGATCTTCAATACTGGCGCCAACAGCTCGGTCGCTACGGTATGACTGGTGAGGCACAGACATCGAAGATGGCCACTCTGTCCGATGGTCAGAAGTCCCGTATCGTCTTCGCTCTGCTCGCTATTGAGGGACCCAACATGTTGTTGCTTGACGAGCCTACCAACGGTCTGGATATCCCTACTATTGACAGTTTGGCGGATGCCATCAACGCCTTCAGCGGTGGTGTCGTTGTTGTTTCCCACGACTTCCGGTATGTTCAATCTAACTCTCCTACTTGATCAGCCTGCTAACAATGGATAGATTGCTTGACAAGATCGCGAAGGACATTATGGTGTGCGAGCACAAGACCGTCCGCAGGTGGGACGGAACCATTGGCGAGTACAAGGACCATCTCCGCAAGAAGATGGCGTCGACTGGTGCTCTCTAAGCGGATTTTGGGGATAGTTTCGCAAGTTGCATGCGTCCTTCGAGCTGTGGAACGCAGGTACAACAAAAGTAATGGCCTTAGAGCAGGTTTCAGGATACCTCTGCAGTAGGCCGGCAGCTCATCGCTTCCTGCGTCAGTGTCGTTCTGCATGGGTAGAGGCATCTGGATTATGCGTTATGATGCATTGGGTCTTAGAGGAGTTTTAGAGTTGCCTTGCGATCAGAATGATATCACATAGAAGCATGTATTGTTGTTTACATATTTTGGGTGCTGCTTGCGTTGCTAAGGGTCGTGCGTGTAGTTGTGATGATGTATTTGTGCGTGTATGTACATGATACTTCCGGTGGACAGAGGACGTTTGACATGCGTGTAATTGAGAAGAAGGATGTGCAGACAGCTGTTCTGAGGCTACGTAGGACGGACATGTGGCTATCGGTAGGTACATGTTCGGCACGTGCCTCTTGGTGAGCTATGAGCTGTGACGAGCGAGCACCCCCGCAAGCTTCCACCGCGATAGTGGAGCTAAGCATCTACACCAAGCCTCCCATCTTTCCAATCTCATACCGTTACTCTTCGAGACCTTCGCTCCCGCTGTATTTATCCGAAACCGCGACAACCCGGAATACAGCGACTCTTACACGAAGCTTTTCCTTCCTTCCTCTCGCTCTCCGCCCGCCATGGCGGAGCTCACAAGTACAAAGCTCAATGCGGAGTCGCATCTCCTCCTCGTAAAGCGTCCCCAGCTACCCAGACATACCGTATTACCTACTAACTCGATCACAGGACCAACCACTCCTGCGCATGCCCTACGAGCTCTCGCGGCGCAACTTCAAAAACGCCCAGCGCGTCATCGAACACTCGTCCAGCGCACTCACCACATCCCTAACTGCCGCCACCAAAGCCGCCTCCAAGAACGCCTCCCCAGAAGCCACACTCGACTCTATCGATACCATGATAAGCAAGATGCACAACCTCAAGCGCAAACTAGAAAACCTCCACGAAGAAGAAGCGCGCATCCACCGCTCCACAAAAGCGCGCCTACAACACCTGCAAGACCTTTACGAGATGCAAAGCCTCGTCGACGTCAAATACGATGAATGGTCACGCACGCGGTTAAGCCGCTTACTCGTGGATTACCTGCTAAGAGAGGGGTATGCAGAGAGCGCAGCGTGTCTGGCGAAGAGCAAAGGAATCACCGAGCTCGTGGATGTGGATGCATTCGTTGCGTGTCACAAAATTGAGAAGAGTTTACGGGAAGGCATGAGTACAACATTGGCGCTTGAGTGGTGCAAGGAACATGGCAAAGAACTCAAGAAGGGGGGTAGCCTGCTCGAATTCGAGCTCAGGCTGCAGCAGTATATTGAGTTGGTGAGACAGGGACACGAGGCCGGATTGAGCGGTATGGATGGGTTGGAGACACAAGATGATGGTATGCATGGAGTCAGCATAGGGGGCGGAGGTGGAGAAACGAAGTTGATGGAGGCGAGGGCGCATGCAAAGAAGTATTTGAGTACGAGTGGGGATTTCGAATTGATGAGGAGGGCCGCGGGCATGTTGGCGTATAGGCCGTGGGACGAGGTGGAACCTTATGCTGTGAGTCTCCCCAGACCGCTGATGGTCCCTATCTCTAACATTCCTTCTAGTCTTTCTACTCGGCATCAAGGTGGTCGCATCTGGCCGATTGCTTCGTCGCGACTCATCACACCCTCTACGCCCTGCCCCCGCGGCCGCTCCTCCACGTCGCCTTGAGCGCCGGTCTCTCCGCGCTCAAGACACCCGCCTGCCATTCCGCCTACACACCCTCCTCCACAAACGCCGCTTCCTCTACCACGACCGTATGCCCAATCTGTAGTACCGAGCTCAACGAGCTGGCGCGCAACGTTCCCTACGCCCTCCACACTAAGAGTATCGTGGAAGACAGTCCCGTAGTACTGCCCAACCATCGCATCTACGGCTCCGAGAGACTGCGCGTCTTCAACGAGAAGGTTGGCACGGAAGAGGGATTCGTAAGGGACCCGGCAGAAGGACTGAGCGGCAAGCAGTGGCCTGAGAGCGAGGTCCGGAAGGTTTATGTTATGTGATGTTTTGTCTGTCTTTCTTTCTTCTAGCGGCATTTGTATGATAGTCCGGTATAGCGTGGCGTTTTGGTATGGGAATCTGCTCGGCGCGGTATGGGTCGGCGTACCTGATTCTTTCATGTGTAGATAGGAAGGACCTCAAGGCCTTGGGTATTGTTCCTAAGCTCAATGAACACTTTACGCTTCGCCCGCAAGCATGCACTTGTTCCGTGTCGGAGGTATTGCTCAACCGT